AATATTTGCTTGCGAAAAGACATACCTAACCGCCAAAATTGTAGTTTGGGTCAAAATTACGTCATTTCCGCTGCTGACAGAAAGGTTTATCGGTAATAAAAAAGTTGAGACTTTGCACCATTGAGCATATGAACTTTGTTTTATACAAATCGAGCAATAAATAATTAACCTAGAACCCTTAAACTGAATTAGCCAATAGCGGCCAAGTTGAATCATCGATACAAAAATTTTTCATATTTTTGCTCAAATCACATGACCCCATAATTATGGGTAAAGCACCATAAAAAAATATTCATAAATAAAAAAGTTTTTTGTCAAAATTTAAATTTTCAAAATTTGGTGCCTAACATCTTCGAAGATTAATCGAAAATCAAAAATCTAAATAATCGTAGCTATTTACCGTGTCTCAGGCTATGTCAAAATGTATCATATGTTAAAATTCGACAATTATTGTTAATATTACGGCAATATTCAAAAATAGACAACTTTGGTGATTTCGGACATTTCGCATTGTCACAGAAAGTTCGAAATAGCTTTAATCTCTAAGTCACACCCACTTTCCCTGTAAAACCGAAGACATCGAGTCAATCCGATAAATAGTTTCTGAGATATGCTAAAGTAAAAAAAAAAAAAAAAAAAATAATAATAAGAAGAACTAGAACCCATTCAGGCTTTTCATATTTTAAAATATTTCTTCGTAACTTTCATAAACTTGTAGCATTAATCCATATGAAGAGAATCTATCTCAAAATTAGTTTGTAATATGAGCAGTTGCCGAGAAATGGGTAATCTTGCATGGGTCACTATTTACGCTAGTTTGCTTGTAAAAGAGTCAATTATTATTGGATTTTCATAAAAGTGACACCATTTGATGCGTAATGTCAATTGTGACTAGTTCAAACCAATTTAACATTTTCAATGTCACCGGAAATGACGTAATTTGGACAAAAACTGTATTTATAGCCTTCGAAATAAATAATTTATTCAAATGAGCCGTATTTGTTATTTGTTTACAATTTTGATATTTGATTAAAATCAACTAATAAAATGAACCCATACGATCATATAGATATCACAAAATGGTTTCTACCTTGTTCAGTTGCGGAGAAATAGACGATTTTCAACGGGCAAGTTACGAAGAAATATTTTAAAATATGAAAAGCCTGAATGGGTTGTAAATAGCTCATTTTTACACCTTTTTTTTACCTTTCAATCGAAATGTCCCAAATACAAAATCGTAATGAAAAAAAAATTTGCGCCTTTTGCAGGAGCATTTATCTTGATCTATCAGATTTGCAAAAATTAACATTTGCTATCGAAAAGAGTTTTTAGCAGAATTGCGTCACATCCGGTGCCAATAGAAAACTTTACCGGTAATAAAAAAATTGGGAATTTGCACCGTGGAGCATATGAACTTTGTTTTATAAAAATCGGACAATAAATAATTAACCTAGAACCAATAAACTGAATTAGCCAATAGCGGACACGAAAAATTATCTAGCCCAAAAATGTTCACATTTTTGCTCAAATCAGACGACCCTTTAATACTGGGTAAAATGCCATAAAAAAAAATTCATAAATAAAAAAATTTTTTGTTAAAATTTAATTTTTCAAAATTTGGCGCCTAATATCTCCGAGGATTCGTCGAAAATCAAAAATCTAAAGAATTGTAGCAATCTGCATGGTCTCTGGCTATGTCAAAATGTATCAAATGTCAAAATCCAACGATTATTGTTAATATTATGGCAATATTTCAAAAACCGACAACTTCGGCAATTTCAGACATTTCACATTTTCGCAGAACGTTCGAAATAGCTTTAATCTCTAAGTCACACCCACTTTCCCTGGAAAACCGAAGACATCGAATCGATCCGACCAGTAGTTTCTGAGATATGCTCAAGTGGAAAAAAAAAATAATAATAATAATAAGAAGAAGAATCAGAACAAAAACAATAGTGTTTCACATCAGCTACGCAGTGTGAAACCCTAATAATAATCTTAACTGGCTACGCAGTGTGAAACCCTAATAATACAATCAGATAGAGTTTTTGGTAAAAACTTAAATTGTGTCAAAAGAAATATCCAGACAATGCGTAGTCAAAATAATCTGATACAGCACCATGGCATTTCTTCATAGCACAATTTGTAGTCTTTTGTCCATCACGTAACTTGCAAAAGTTTTTATTTATTCGTCGATGATAGACAAACGGCACGATGATCACGTGACAACCATAACTAAAGTTGCTATAAAATAAAATTATATGTACGACTATGATATAGCCTTCAATAATATTTTTAAAATTAAGTCTCTGTCAGCATGTGTATAAATTAAAAAATTGTAACGGTAAACGCTATTTAGAACTGGTTTATTGACCTAATTCCAACCGATATGTCACGTGTCATTGGTCTTATAATAATAAGAAGAATCAGAACAAAAACAATAGTGTTTCACATCAGCTACGCAGTGTGAAACCCTAATAATAATCTTAACTGGCTACGCAGTGTGAAACCCTAATAATACAATCAGATAGAGTTTTTGGTAAAAACTTAAATTGTGTCAAAAGAAATATCCAGACAATGCGTAGTCAAAATAATCTGATACAGCACCATGGCATTTCTTCATAGCACAATTTGTAGTCTTTTGTCCATCACGTAACTTGCAAAAGTTTTTATTTATTCGTCGATGATAGACAAACGGCACGATGATCACGTGACAACCATAACTAAAGTTGCTATAAAATAAAATTATATGTACGACTATGATATAGCCTTCAATAATATTTTTAAAATTAAGTCTCTGTCAGCATGTGTATAAATTAAAAAATCGTAACGGTAAACGCTATTTAGAACTGGTTTATTGACCTAATTCCAACCGATATGTCACGTGTCATTGGTCTTCAGCATTCGAGATTCTGTTGGGAAAATATCCACTGTTTCTCTTTCCGTGTATTCAGTGTTCTATCAGGGGATTATATTCAATGAAGATTTAAATTTACCTAACAACTGGTCAGTAAATCCATCAATGTATGGGGGGGTTGGATGGCTGAATGGTTAGCGTGCGCGCGCTGTATCATAACGTCTGTCATTGAGTCAACTGGCGTGGTTTCGAATCCCGGGTTGTATGTGGCAAGGAGTAGGGTCGCTTGTCCAACCTCGTGGGTTTTCTCCGGGTCCTCCGGTTTCCTCCCACTGCTAAAGACCCCTACGCGCAAGCGAATTATTGAAATAAAATTAAACCATATGTTAGTCCCGAAATGACCTAGTTTGCGTCGAGTGGACGTTAAACCCCATTTCTCTCTCTCTCTCCATCAATGTATGATCCAGTTATTATTTTAATATCTACCTGTACCTGCACTTCACACGGACGGAGTGTAGAAGCGGCTCGATTGGCAAACCATGCCGAGATCGTCTTTATTCACCACGTGGAGTATTTTACTGAACCTTTTATGAATTATCAGTAAGCGTGTTTTGTTTTTTTTACCGGATTGTCAAAATCACCGAACCACATATGGCAGATTCTCACTAATGTATGACTGTTATTGTAGCCGACACTTCTTTATTTAACAAGTAATAATTAACACGTTGTAATATTAGCCATAAGTAGATTGATTTATGATACCATGTGGCCGATTCATTGTTTTACCAATCGGCTAGATTAAACATCAATCGGCTAAACCCCACAAAATACAGCCGATTAAGAACACTGACCCTGACTGACATTCAACAGTTGGACTCGAAAAATTTTACGCGAATCGTAGGCTCTTGCGCGAATTAGATTCAGAGATTCGCATGAATTTCTAGCCCTGGTTTGTGGGCCCTCTAGAAGTCACAATGATTATTTATCCGATTTTGATCAAATGTGGGCTTATCTTGAATAATAGTTACATTATTAATTGGCAATTGGGTGTAAATTCATTGAAATTCTAAACCACCTGATGATCAGACCTGTCAACTCTACCGCATCACACGGTAAAGTGCCGCGAAAAGGCCTCATGTACCGCTCTACTGCGCGGTATTAGCTTTCTACCGCATTAGTCGTTATGCAAAACTATTTTTTTAGGGTTAAAATTCCTAATGTAGAAATACTATAGAATCTAATAAGCACACCAATTATCTTACATGAAACAATATTGTTAAAAACTCTGGAATGGGGAACACGTCACAAGGATATTTTCAAAATCATGCTTAGTTAAAACCAAAGAAAAGTGGTACTTCCAGTACTACTGAACTGGTAATTTTAATTATTTTTTTACGTTACTAATTATTTCTTTCAATTTTGGTTTATATACATAAATACATTTAGATATGGTTACCATTGCTTATATTTTATCTATTACCCATTTAATGCAATTTTTGTATTGTTGGGCCTAAATTAATTACCCTTGGAAGTGCGAATTTACGCGTTTTGGAAATCTATGACCAAATCATGGTTTCTACTGCATTTTTTAGACTACCCTACTGCATTTCAGCTCTGAGGGGTTGACAGGTCTGCCGATGTTCTAGAGAGTTGATTGTGGGCTTGGCTGGTGAATAAATGTCTAAATAATGATTTATATAATATTGAGGTCAAACGAAAGATCTTCATAAGGCAGATTTAGCTCTGTGGCCTGGTACTGTGCCGAGAACAGAACACTTATCGCGGCCAAGTGTAAACAGGGCTAAAGTATTCCTTTATATCTGAAATGAACATTGGTTTAATTGCACCTACCACATTTTAAATGTAAATATTAGTTTAGTTGGTAAAAATCCTTGTCTCAGAAATTGTGGGAGCCATAGTGGCTAGCCTGGAGGTTGCATGTTTGATACCTGCATTGGCTGAGAAAGTTGATCAGGATTTTCCAGCGTGGTTTCTACTTGTCAATGGTGCAGGACGGAGGGCCTAACAAGAACAGTTGTCTAGTCATTTTGAATGGGACGAAAAACCAAGGACATATGTATACACATATCACCGATTGTCCACTATTTTAAGATTTAATTCAACAAATTTACATTAATTTCAGATCCTCCAAACATCACAAGTCTAACATCTGATGCTACCAACAACATGATAGATGAAGATTCTACTGTAACCTTCAACTGTTCAGTTGACAGTCTTCCATCTTCAGAAATATCCTGGTCTAGATCACAACAAGGGGGACAACTCTATTCTGGTAGTCAATATACCATATCTAAAGCTAGTTGTCAACATACAGATAACTATACCTGTACAGCTAGTAATAATATTGGTCAACCTGTATCTAAAACTATTCCACTCTTTGTTAAATGTAAGTACAACCCCGGAAATATGAAATATATACAAATCTGACTAAGCAAAAATGTAATTCCTTTCCACAAGTCTTATGGTTACCAATATCTGAATTCCAAATCCAAAGTTTGTTCAAATAAATTGTTGTGCACATGACACGTATGGCTACTCCTTCTTATTGTTAAAACATGGCCCCTAGAGGAGGTTTACATGGTTAGTATATTCATTGTTTTGTACATTGTTCTTTGATTTGAATTATTGTCAGCTCAGTATGAATAATGATGTAATGATCGCTTGTCTTAATTTTAGGTCCCCCACAAGAAAACCAAGGGGACCCATTAATTACTAATAGAATAAATACAACAATACATCTACAAGTTGATATAATCGTATTTCTATATTCCAGGTTCTCCAAGAGAAAACACAGTAACCAAGAGAAACATCACCAATAGAATAGATACAACAATAAATCTACAAGTTGATATAATCGCCTACCCTGAACCAACCTTCACCTGGTACCATACACCTACCAGACAGATAATAAATACAGCTAGAACACAACAACTATCAACTATAAACTATAAATCAACAGTAGAGATTACTCTAAACTCTACTCTATTTGGTGATTATATAGTATCTGTATACAATGATATTGGTGTTCAGAACTTCACTATTACAGTTATTGATGGAGGTAAAGACAATTAAATGTGCACGTATATTGCTGTTACCCCAGTTTGTGGACACTCTACCGGTCACAATTTTTATCGAATTTTGACAAAACTTAAAATGTATGTTTATAACCCAAAGGTTGTGGTTCCTTTCAACGTTGCAATGTATCGGACTGTAACCTTATGGATTATGGCCCTGATTGTACAAAAAATCGCATTTGAGATAACAATTTTTATACACCCACATTTTCATTTGGATGTATATTATCGTCTCCCCTGTCCGTCTGGATTTCTGTCCATCCAGAATATGTTTGTGGACACTCTACACGTCACAATTTCTATCTAATTTTGACAAAACTTGAAATATAGCTTTATATCCCAAAGATTTCGGTTCCTTTTGAAATTAGCATGTATCAGACCGTAACTTCATGGATTATGGCCCCTGATTGTACGAAAGTTTACGTTTTCAGCTTGTGGACCCTCAATATTTTTATCGTTACTACATGTAACTGATAATGATTGAGTTCGAATTTCGGAACGAAACTGCCCGAAAAATAAATATATATGTTTATATCCCAAAGATCTCAGTTCCTTTCGATATTCGCGCATTTCCTGGATTATGGCCCCTAGTTGTACGAAAAATCACAATTATTTTAGCTTGTTCTCTGCCCATTTCGCAAAATATCTTGCATGGCAACCATTTGTTAATAAATTATTAACTGCCAATTGTGTTTAAATCTATTGAAATTCTAAACCACCCGATGGGCTAGAGAGTTGATTATGGCCTTGGCAGGTGAATAAATGTCTAATTAATGATTTATAAATTTGAGGTCAAATGAAAGATCTTCATAAGGCAGATTTACCTCTTACATAATGCATCTTTAATAAAAACAAAGGACATGATTTGGTATTGTTGCATGTGTTAATATTTGTAGTGAAAGTATACCAAGTGGACCCTATAAAGGTCACAATTTTTATCTGATTTTATTTAAACTTGAAATGTATGTTTATACCGGTAGGTTCCTGTCGATATTTGCGCAGATTGGACCATAACTTCCTGGATTATGGCCCCTAATTGCACGTAAAATCGCATTTTTAGTCCATCAAGATGTCAAAATGTTTATCTGATTTAAAAAATGTTTTTATATAACACCCTTTCACCATAAGGACGGTTGAGTTTGAATGTCGTGAAAATCAGACCAACTGCCCGACCAAATGGCCGCTCCCTGTACCCAATTAGTGTAAAAATATGCAATACCAAGGTTGTGGACTCTCTAGAGGGTGTAGATTTTTGTATCCGATTTTGATGAAACTTGTCCATCGGTTCCTTTCGATATTTGCACATTTAAGATCGAAATTTATGGATAATGACCCCAGATTGTGCGACAATATGTGTTTTTAGCTTGTGGAACATCTAGGGTTTACAATTTTTATCGAAATTTGATGAAACTCAAATCACATTTTTTAACTTGTTCTCTGTCCATCTCTTGCAAAATATCTGTATCTTGCATGGCAACAGCATGTCTAATATATTATTGGTAACTTACTATTAAAACTAGATTATATTAAAGTACTAGATGGAAGTTAGGGCATTTATAGAAACTATAATTCCTCCTAGTTTCAGATTATATTCCATTATATGCCCTTTGGGCATCTCCAATTTATATTGCATATGTCTAAATAAATATGTATACTAACTCAACATTCAAAGTCTAGAAATAGCACAATTACACGTGCAGTACTGTATCAACATCCGCCTGACTATAATTACGAGGTAAGACTCGGCATTAGTTGTCTTTTTGTTTTTTGATCTAGACAATCCTCTGTTCGGGGTGTATATTCTAATAAAAATCATTATATTCCATATATGCCCTTTGGGCATCTCGGATTTATATTGCATATTTCTCATTGTTCTTTCAAACCATGCACAATCGCTCAAACTTTAAAGGCTAAAAAATAGCTCACCGAATCGGCGTGTATAAACACGTGACCACGCTCTATATAAACTATCACAACACTTTCAGTATTGTCTTTTTCTCTTTTGATCTAGACCAAGCACATTCGTGTGTTCGTGATAACGCTGTTATCATGTTCTTAAATTTTCTTTCCATTGTGTTCAATGTGTGTTGATCATTTATGTTTTATCATGGACCTGTATTTTTAGGTCCATTTATATTATCTACCTTCGTTTTCATCGACAGGTATGAGGTAGAATCGCTGATTCACCGTTTTTTTTGTTTGTTTTTAGTCGCGGTCATCACGAAGTGTTGACTTTAAATTTCACTCTTTATATGGAGGAAAGCGATTTTTAGGGATTCTGCGAGGCAGATCTTTTAAATGATCATAATGTAACCGCAAACTTGCTAGATTTAAATGTCGTAATTATTATACAGCTTTTTTAGACAAGAGATTATAATATATTCCCCATGAGTGGGACAATCGAGAATAAACCGGATGTTTACAACAGCAGTCCGATGATGGAGGTATACTTCCGATTCCGAACTCGATAATAACATTTTTAACATACCCATAGGTAAAAACGAGCGTAATAACGGAAATTTTCCGCTAAAAGGTCTGTAAAGGCCTTTAAATCTCATAAACGAGAATTGAACGCCAATATTATAGTTGGTTTATAACTTTATCCAATTCAATTGTGTTGAGTTGACAGAATTTGATTGATATATGATCATGTTCATAATGAAAAAAAAAAAAAAAAATGATGATAATGATGATCGTAATGTTAACATTATATTACCGGTACTGATTATTAACATAATATTAAAAATAATAAAGAGGGTTACCCTTATATTAGTAGTAATAATAAGTATATAAGTAGATCAAATAAAAAGGTTGTTATTAAGAAGCCTGCAACAAATAATGTCGTTATAATGACGTTACGACAAAATGAGCCGTTACGGCCCCTGGATAGTATAGGCTTGAATCATAGTGAAAGTAATATTAATTTGCATTATTACCGGTACTGATTATTAACATAATATTAACAATAGTAATAAAGAGGGTTACCCTTATACTAGTAGTAATAATAAGTATATAAGTAGATCTAATAAAAAGGTTGTTATTAATAAGCCTGCAACAAATAATGTCGTTACGACAAAATGAGCCGTTACGGCCACTGCTATAGGCTTAAATCATAATGCAAGTAATATTTTCAGGTGGTGGCATTTTAGTAGATAAAAATGAATTTGAGTTTCTTCAAAACCAGGTTTCCTTGATGTCCAATCTTCACTGATTTAATATAACAATCCATCTTAAAATCAAAGTCTTGATGGTAATTGATGTTCATCAGTCTGTTAGGTCGGCTAATAGACCTGCATCACATGGTTTTGAAGATGCGGTATCAGTACATCATGAAGATAAAAAGTATACAATAACATTTTAAGTACCGGTAACTAATAATGGATCAGGTTTAGATATCATGGATCCTCAAAGTTTGTATGATGAATTCATGGAGTAAACACAAGAAACTAAGTTTGACATCCCCAAAATCTTTTAGGGTGATGATGTCTTTAATGATTCTGTGATCAACCAAGATACCAATAAAAAGGGTTGAGAAAAAGTAATTGACATTCTACTATCCTCTATCAGTTAAATGCAAGAGATTGTTGCCACCTTTGTTGGACCAGGATATTTGTCATGCCCTGCCCCAAGCGGCTCAGGATTGTTATCTTCAGGAGGTTCTAAAACTGTTATGTCTGGGTTTATGCCCTCTGATACCTCTTTTAAATAAAAATATTGACCCTGAGGTAGTCCTCTATTGTAGATTCTATCATAACCTTAGGTAAGGCCCATTTAGAGTTGTCTCTGAAGCATAGATTATTTCTTGTGAAATATCGCAGCAAAAGGTAGCACCCAATATATTTAACAACAAGGCCTGTTGTTGACACTTTGTCCGGCTGGATTGTTCCGGCAGGCCCTTCAAGGGCTGTCATCTCCAACTGGAGCAGGGCGAGAGGCAGATTACCTCGCCAAAATTACCACTAGACATTGGAAAGTAATAAATATTTTATGCTGGACAAATTTATATATTACTGGGCCACTATTACCTCAGATCAGTGAATATCGTTAGTGGTTATAAGATTGACTTTAATTCAACTCATTTATTCTGAAGGCTATTCCAAATAGCCTGCCTTTTAATCATAAACAGATGTCTTTAATGGATGAGGTAGTCATTTAAATGATATTTAAGAAAGCCATCAATTCTGTATCATCAGCATACAGTTATATTATTATTATTATTATTAAAAAAAAAAAACTGTTTAAGCAGGAAACACTGGCAATTGCCCTAAGGCTATTAAACGGAACGATTTTTTAACATCCATTGATATTAAAGAGACTTATTTTTCGATTCCTGTTTGTCTTGATCATCGAATATATCTACGTTTCAAATGGCGAGATCATGTTTATGTGTTTACATGTTTACCTTTTGGTCTTTCTTCAGTTACACATACATGTATCTTTACAAAAATTCTCAAACCTTTGTTTGCTTGGCTCAGGAAACGGAACATTATATGTACATACTTTATAGATGATTCTTTATCTGCTATGTACAGGCTTTTTTAATTTTGGCTTCATAATTAATACAGAAAGTATTTTAGGCTTCATAATTAATACAGAAAGTTATCAAGCTTGTTGACATATGAGAGAGTTTCTAAAATAAATAATAGCTGAGGAAATTTTGTTTAGTTCAAATTTATTAATTCATATGAGCCATCATTTATTGGTCAGTGTTCCTTTAGTAGAACTGCTATTATACTTGCATTATATTTATCCATTATTTAGACAAACAGAAAAATATATTTCTGTCACACTGTATCTTCAGCTATGATAATGATATCATTCATATTCAGGCAATGTTTTTGGAAATAGAATGGTGGATATCTAAGGTTTATATATAATGGGTTTTATATTCATCCACCTAGTATACATGTATAAATGGTTCATAACATCAGATGCTTTCCCATATGGATGGGGTGCCCACAGGGTAAATTCCAAAGCAATGGCC